GTTAGGGCTTTTTCTTGCAAACTTAACAGGAGTTGAGTGGGAAGAATCCCAGCTACCAATACTTCTCTCCTCATCCAGGTCTAGTTAACAAGCCAGGCTGGCTAGTCAGTCATCAATTGTGCCTTGAAATACTATAGACCTACCTGACCTAGAAACAAGTCTACCGAGACCCTCACAGTGATCAGAGTTGTTTCTGATAGTCCATAACCAGGATATTACCCTGATACGAGTACCAAAGGGATCCCAATTACCAATTCTTCTCCCCCCCCAGAAAATAGTTGTCAACTATTCAATTTGTGCTATACATACACAGCAGCACAGGAACTATTTACACGATACAATACCTGTTATCCAATCCTCAACCAGAAATATGAATGGTTCTTTTTGAAAAGGTACTAAAAATACATCATTAGTATCACTCAGTATTTTAAATGGGTACTGACCCTCTTAAATCTTTTCCCCTATGAATAACAAGCTCACTTTTCAAGTACTTATTTATGCTTAGAATCTAAGTGCTAGAATCAAAATTGCATACTCCAAGCTAAATGGAGTCTCAGCAGTGAACTACACTAAGGTAAAAATAATTTATTTTGCTTTAAGTCAAATGTCCTTGAATTGCATTCTAATATTTCATAAGCTTTATCCATAATAGCTTCACATTGGTTGAAACGTCCAGTCAATGATCAATAATTACATACAAATCCTTTTTCAATCTTTGCTATTGGATACCTCTTTATCACAAATATGTTTCCTGTTCCATTATGTATTAATTTAAACTTATCTACATTAAAATCTATACCTCATTCCTAAGACTATCTGATTATTTGCTCCCGATTTCACTGAAAACCCTGACTCTCTTACTATTCTCCAACACAAATGACAAAGAATCAGAAATAAACTCCATACTCCTTTACAACAACATTGTTTTCATTGCCTGAAAGGGTAGTGGAAGCCGATTCGATAACAAATTTTAAGAAAGAAGTAGATAATTATTTGGGGAGGACAAGTTTGCTGGGGATAGAGCGGGGATGTGGAATTGAATTGGAAGCCCTTTTCAAAGAGTTGGCACAGACACGATGGGCTGAACGGCCTCCTTCTGTGCTGTATAATTCTATGATTCTATGAACAACATGCATTTATATCGCATCCTTCAAGTGGGGGAGCGTCTCAGTAGCCTTAACCGTGGCCAAGATGGGGATAGGTGGGAGATGACTGTGGGCACAGTTGAAGAGGAAGGTCATCAGGTGTGATCTGAAGACAGGCAAGGAGGAGGCAAGGCAAACGGATTGAGACATTTAGTTGCATAGTTTTGGGGTACAGTGACTGAAAGCACAGCTGTTAACGGTGAAGTGGGGGGGAGGACAAAGGACTTGCAGGAGAGAAGAGCCAACTGAGCAAAGGCGGCACTTAGTGGAGTGAAGCATAAGCAGGTCGGAGAAGTAGGGAAGTATCAGAGCATGAAGTGATTTGTATGTGAGTGTGAGGGTCTTGATATCAATCTGTTCTCAATAAGGTACCAGTGGAATCCTGGCAAGTACTGGAGTGATGGGGGTACGGAGTTTGGTGCAAGTGAGGATACAGGCGGTGGAGTTTTGAATTAATTGGATTTTATGAATGGTGGAATTGGGGAGACTGGCGAGGAGGGCATTGGAATAATCAACAACAACAACACATTTGTATAGCGCCTTTCATGTTGGGAGGACTTCCCAAGGTGCTGGACAGTGTACAGTATTTCAAATCCGAGCTGGGGTCAGGGGGAGGAAGGGAGAGGAGGGGAAGCGGGGTGACCGATGGCATGGTCGAAGAAGAGGGTCTTGAGGCAGGACTTGAAGGAGGCTAAGGAGGGGATGAGGCGGAGTGATTGGGGGATGGAATTTCAGAGGTTGGGGGGAGAGTGGCTGAAGGCTCTCCCGCCATTGGTGGGGTGGATGGGTCGGGGGACGTGGAGCAGGCTGAGCGGAGGGAACGGGCGGGTTGGTAGGGGGTTAGGAGGTCGCAGAGGTAGGGTGGGGTGAGGCCATGGAGGGCTTTGATGGTGAGGACCAGGATCTTGAACTGGATCCTCTGAAGGATAGGGAGCCAATGGAGTCGGGCGAGAGTGGGGGAGATGGGGTCACGTAGTTTGATGCGGGAGAGGACACGGGCTGCAGAGTTCTGGATTATCTGCAGCCTGTGAAGGGAGTAGTTGGGAAGGTCGACAAGCAGAGCGTTTGCATAGTCGAGCCTGGAGTCTGGTTGCCTCCGTTCCTCTGGGTCTGGCCTCCTCCTCGTCCCGAGTCCTCCGCTTCACCCTCGGCGGCCGTGCCTTCAGCCACTATGCCCCGAGGCTCTGGAACTGCCTTCCTCACTCCCTTCGTCTCACTCCCTCCTTTCCTATTTTCAGGTCTCTGCTGAAAAACTTTCTTTTTGACCGTGCCTTTCGTCACCTTCCTCCCCCTTCCCCTGGCTCGGTCCCGAGATCCGTTACTGTAAAGCACTCTGAGACGCCTTCCGGCATGGAGGGCGCCATATAAATCCAAGTTGTTGTTGTTGTTGAAGGCATGAACAAGAGTTCAAGGCAGGAGGTGGTGAAAATGTGGATATGGGTTTTGGTTGCGTTGGGTGTGAGGTACGGTCGCAGGCGGGCAATGTGATGGATGTGGAGGACAGCAGTCCTGGTGAGGGACTGGATGTGGAATAGGAAGGACACCTGGGGAATCGAACCCGATGCCTAGGTTTCAAACAGGTTCAGTAAGTCTGAGGGTAGGCCGGGGAGGGAGTCACAAGTAAAAAGACATTGACAGGAACCCAGGAGTATGGCTAAGATCTTGTTAACGTTCAGCTGCAGAAAGTTGGCGCTCATCAAGGCCTTGAGGTCTGACAAGTAAGAGGATAGAACATCGGTAGACCTGGGGTTGCAGCTGGAGAAGGCGAAGTAGATTTAGGTGAGATCCGCATACATGTGGATGTCTGTGGATGACATTACCAAAAGGGAGCATGTAAATGAGGAGAACAAGGGGGCCAAAGATGGAGCCTCGGGGACCCGGTGGGGACAGAAGGAAAAAAACAATTGCAGAGACGTAGTGATGGTGATTGGTCAAGTGGGACTCGAACGATATAGCACTAAGGTCACAGTCAAAGAGGTAGGCTTTAAAGGTGGAATTTAAAGATAGAGAGGGAGAAAGGCAGAGATAGAGGCAGGGTGTTTCAGAGGTTGGGGACGTAAAAACTGAAGGACACTGATGGTGGTGCGAAGAGTGCGGGAGATGTGCAACAGGCCTGTCTTAGCTGAGGACAGGCGAAAGAGCAGAGTACATATATATGAGAGTGAGGACAATAAGGTCAATCGTTCGGAGCCAGGGAACCAGGCATGCCACAAATGATCAACAGTTACAAATGATGAAGAAGAATGCAAATGTGAAATAATTGTTGTCAGCACTTTGCTAAACGTACTAGCGACAGTTGTCAAAGTAAATAAATCAGATAACTAAACACACTGGTTACTGTGAAAAGTCTACAGCACAAACGAATACCCAAAGGTACATATATTGATTATTGTGAGTACACGGCTTGAATGATTCAACAAAACCTCAGTAGGACTGTAATCCAAATAATTTTCTGCTGAAACATGAAACGTACTACACACTCCAATGAGGATTTTGAATATTTAAAAAGAGGTTTGAACATTCCAGCTACAGTATGCTTAGAATTTGCACCTGTCATTGGGCATACCATTAAACCTAAGACATCACATTTGTTTTATATCATTTTTAAACGACTACATAATACAATAATCATGACTGAACAGCATCGATATTTCAAATAATTTAAATAAATATACAGAAGAACACTGAAAGGGTAAGGAAAACGCCTAATTTGGCTGAATTATTAATCTACTTGTACTGAGGTATAAATAACGAAACATGTTGCCCTTTTGTTGTACTCTTTTACTGATATTTAATTTTAAAACCTCTTACAATGCACGTCTACGTGATTATTATTATTAGTATTTTTGAAGCACAGTCTGAAATTATATCCCACAGTCTATAAATACTTAAGATTCCATCCAAACTCGTGTCTGCAATTACCTGAAAACTTCTCTGCAAACAAACTCTGAGGTCACATTTAATATACTTATCAAGACGTGGATTTAAACGGGAAAAAAATCTGCAATTAAATAACAACGGGGAGGGGAAACCTTCAAACAGCCTGGATTCTCCTTCTGACAGATCCACTTGGGCTTTTGATGCCTTAATAATAATAATAATAATAATAATAATAATAATAATACTAATCCTTGCATTTGATATAGCGCTTTTCACGTCGGGAGGACGTCCCAAAGCGCTTCACAGAACACACTGTGAAGTGAATTGACTGCATATTCGTGGGCGAACGCCTTCGATCCCGTGTTACCTTTATGCGCTTAAAGACTGAAACGATGTGTCAATGCATCGTGGAGAAACGAAAGGTTTGCCAACGCCTGTGGACGAGAAAAGGTGCAGAGAAAGATCCGAGAGGAGGTGGTCTGACCAGGGCCGCGCACACAGAGAGAGGGAGAGAGGGAGAGGGAGGGAGAGGGCACCTTTCATCCATCGCCTGTCTGTCTGCCTCTCCCTCAGTCGCTGCGAGATAACAATGACCACGAGCACCGCAACTGCCGGTCAAAGCAAACCGAGGAGAAGCTGTCACCGCAACCGCCAACTTAACGGGTTTTCGGGGCATTAATCCCCCCCCCCCTCACCCCACCACCCGTTTAAGACCCCCCCCCCAAAAAAAAAAAGAAATATACCGTTTGATATCAGTCGAGCTCTGCCGCGCGGGCGGTGGAAGTTATTGAGCGAATAAACCCGAGCCGACACATCGCGGCCGCCCGACTGCCGCGAGGCACCGGTCCCGTGAGCACCGCACGTCGGCTACTGAACTTAAAACAAAAGGTTCGCCCTCCTTCCCCCGAGAGCCACAACGCCGTCCTGACATGTCACCAACTGCTGCTCAAAAAAAAATACTCCCAGCGCTCTTACCTCAGGCGAACTATCCGCGCCCGATCAGAAATCGTTGTGCGTGGTCACACACGACGGCGGCGGCGACAAACCCCCTCTCTCTCTCTCTCTCCTTCTTCCACTCACCGTGAAGACGCCTCACATCCCCATCGCAAGCTGACGAGCCGGGAGTAAACCAAACCTGGTGGGTTGATTGACGTGCCCGCTGGCCATACAGAGCCCGGAGTTGAAATTCCACAGCGGCTACGGCCTCGCGGCGTCGAATCGCAGTCGGGCTGTGAGGCGGGCGGGCGGACGGGGCAGGGGCGGGGCCAATCCGCCAGCACGTTAGGGTGGCGCGCAGCAGCGGCGGTTAAAAAGGTGGTAAATGTGATCGCGGCGTCAATCGAGGGACCCCCCCTCCCCCGCACCCCTCCCCCTCCCCCCGCGCGCGCGTTGAGACCAACCGCCGCCGAGCCTGCGCGTGAGGGTCCCGCTGCGCGCGCCGAGATCAACGGTCGCGAGCCGCACGTGGGGGGGGGGGGGTCCCGCGCTGAGCTCCGACGTCAACCGCCGAAGCTGCGCGGCTCTGTCTCTCCGCTGTTTCTTCCTCAGACGTCCACTTTTTTTTTATTATTATGAGGAAGGTTTACATCTGGACCAGTGAGCGTCCCCGGTCTCCCGGACAACAACCCCCCAAATACTAAACGAAAAAAAAAGTAATGCGTGTCATTGGGTGCCCCGGGGGCCGCTGCTCTCGCCACACGCACTCGAGGCTGTTTTGTGAGCCACGTGAAAATCTTTCATTGGGGGGTGGGGGGTCGCACATGTCTGGAGTCACCGACTGCTGGGAAGACCGAAAGTGACTTCAGCAGCAATAATAAATATTAAGCCTCTGGCATTTGATGTGGTGCCACCTTATCACGTCGTCCATGTGCCCCGCTGTGCCCGCTGTCCAAATCCAATGCCGCCCACCCCAAGGGGCTCCCTCAGCACCAGCTGCTTAACAACAGGTCTTCGAGGCGTTGTACTCACAATCTACACCGACACCACTGTACGGTCACTTCACTTTACGGCACTATCCTGTGAAGCTCTTCGAGACGTGCGGAAGACACGAAAAACGCCGCATCAAATGCAAGGATTATTATTGCTGTGATTGGATGTTAGAGATCTCGTGGCACTATTCAAAAAAAAAAGAAGGGAGATTCTCCCAGTGTCCGGGCCAACCATCCCCCAAATAAAATTAGACCCTCACTCCATGACGTTTTGTGGGACATTGCCGTGTGCAAATTGGGCTGCCACCTTTCGGTTCAAAATGCACAGTTGCTTTACTTTACAATATGTCCTGTGAAGGCCTTGGAGATATCCACCCGACAGGAAAGGAAGCATATCCATTATATTATGAGGAGCTTTGGCAAATAGACAGGACTGCCGTGAAGCCAACTCCGCTCTCAAGCTACTCAGCAATAGGTTGGTGAAGGTGAAAACTGCCACCTCTCCACCTCACCCAATTAAGACTGAATTGAAGATATTTCCACAATTCTGCCAAAGTTAAAATTTTCAGATGAAATATTCTTAAAAGCTAGGCGAAAATTTGGACATTTAGGATTAATATACACATAATTTTATGGTGAGAGGGCAAATTGTGACAACTTGGGTACCATCGTATAGTACAATGTATAAAGGCTGCAGAAGAGATTCACCAGGATAATACTGGGAACGAGAGATTTTACTTATGAAAAATGACTGAAGAAACAGGCTGTTTTCCCCTGAACAGAGATAGTTGAGCAACAACACATTACATTTGTATAGCGCCCTTCACGCCGGGTGGACATCCCAGGGCACTGGATAGTCAGGGAATTGGACCCGAGCAAGTAGTTGGGATCAGGAGGTGGAGAGCAGGAAGGGAGGGGTTGGAGGGTGCCCGAAGGCATGGTTGGAGGGTCTTGAGACGTGCCTTCAAGGAGGCAAGGGAGGGAGCAAAGCAAAGGGACTGGGATGGAGTTCCAGAGGGTGGGTGCAGAGAGCCTAAAGGTCCGACCACTGATGGTGGGACGGGCAGGGGATGTGGAACAGGCTGGAGCCTGCTGAGCAGAGGAGTGCACAGGTTAGAAGGTCACAGAGGTAGAAGGAGCAAGGCTGTAAAAAGCTTTGAAGGCAAGGATGAGGATGTTTAACTGCCCTGTGAGGGATGGGGAGCCAGTGGACCCGGGCATGGGTGGGGTGATAGGGTCAAGCAGCACAACCTGCAGAATTGGGAGAGGACACAAGCTGCAGAGTTCTGGATGATCTGCAGTTTGTGGAGGGAAGAGTTGGGAAGGCTGACAACCAGAGAGTTGGTGTAGATGTCTCAAAGCGCTTCACAAATATATTGTAAGGTGAATTGACCATATTTTGTGGGTGAAACACCAAATACTTCAGGTATTAACATTAACAATTTACTTGATCTTGTCAGGTTCAACCGGATGAGATAGAGTTGGCAGGTGGTTCTATGTATTTATATCCCACCCCCCACTCCTATTTACTGTAATATCTAGACATAGGTAGAACCTGAGAAAAAGGGGTTTTGACCAGGGAAGAACAGAATAAGATGGTGATATATGTGACAGTATTCTCTTTCTTATCTGCAGTATCATTTCCCTTCTTTGATTGAAGCTCTCTAGCAATATGGCCTTATATTAGGGGTATAAAATGAATAATGGAAAGATAAAACTGCCTTAGGGCGAAAACGTAGGCAAGTTTTCTTACTCCACACATGCCTCTGTTTACATACTGGAGCAGTAAGTAGGAACCCACTTGTTCGTCGATTGGTGGATGGCTTTCCGGAGCTAATAATCCCTCCAAATTAATAATATGGTCACTCAATCCACGACTGTTTGTGGGACACTACTGTGTGCAATTGGCTGCCAAGTTTCACTCACAAAATACATAGTCACTACACTTTACAGTATATTCTGTGAAGCGCTTTGAGACATCTCAAAGACGTGATAAGGCGCTGTATCAAATTCAAGGATTATTATTCGATAGGAACATAGGAACAGGAGGCGGCCATTCAGCCCTTCGAGCCTGTTCTGCTATTTAATTAGATCATGGCTGATCTGTACCTCAACTAATCCTTTCAATTCCAATTTCCCGCTTTCTTCCCATATCCCTTAAAACCCTGATCTACCAAAAATCTATCAACCTCACTCTTGAAGGTGTGAATGGATCCAGCATCCACGGCCTTTTGGGGAAGAGAATTCCAGATTTCTACCACGCTTTGAGTGAAAAAATGCTTTGTGATTCACTCTTAAATGTCCTGGTTCTAAGTTTAAGACTATGCCCCTTGTTTTAGATTCCCCCACCAGAGAAAATAGCTTCTCTGTATCTACCCTATCTAATCCCTTTACCATCTTAAACACCTCAATCAAATCACCCCTCAACCTTCTAAACTCAAGAGAATACAATCCAAGTTTACACAGCCTTTCCTCGTAACTTAACCCTTTTAGGCCCGGTAACATTCTGATGAACCTGCACTGCACCCCCTCCAGGGCCAATATACCTTTCCTGAGGTGTGGTGCCCAAAACTGAACGCAGTACTCCGGATGGGGTCTGACTAACCTCTGTGTAAAGCTGAAGCATTATTTCTCCCCTTTGAGATAAAGGCCAACATTCCATTCACCTTTTTGATCACTTTTTGCACCTGGGAACTAGTTTTTAGCGATTTGTGGATATGGACACCCAAATCTCTTTGCTCCTCCACGGTTCTTAATTTCTTCCCATTAAGAAAATATTCTCATTTATACTTTTTCGGTCCACAGTGGATGACCTCGCAGTTCCCTACATTAAACTCCAACTGCCACAGCTTTACCCACTCACTTAATCTGTCTAAGTCCCTTTGTAACTTCCTACTCACAAAACTCACTGAGCCTCCTAGCTTAGTATCATCTGCAAACTTGGATATAAAACTTTCTATTCCTTCATCCAAGTCACTTATATATATGGCGAATAGCTGAGGTCCCAGTACAGACCCCTGGGGGTTATCACTTGTCACATCCCGCCAATCAGAGAATGTTCCCTTTATCCGTACTCTCTGTTTCTTGCCTCCGAACGAATTACCAAGCCACATCACAAGGTTACCTCCGACTCCATGTGTTTCCATTTTCGCTAATAATCTTTTGTGTGAACCTATGAAATGCCTTCTGAAAGTCCATATAAGCGACACTCTCCTATCAACCATTTTAGTGACCTCAAAAGTTCAACTAGGTTAGTCAGACATGATCTACCCTTCACAAACCCATGCTGACTTTCTTTTGACTAGCACATAGCTGCCCAAGTGTCACTCTGTCCTTGATGATGGATTCCAGTATTTTCCCTACAACTGACGTAAAGCTGACAGGTCTGTAGCTTCCTGGTTTCTCCCTCCCTTCTTAAATAAAGGGGTGACATTCGCAATTTTCCAATCTAAGGGTGCAATTCCCGAATCTAGTGAGCTTTGGAAAATTATGAGGAATGCATTTTGCAATTTCCTCTCCTATTTCCTTTAACACCATGGGGTGGAAACTATCAGGTCCTGGAGATTTGTCTATCTTGAGTCTGATTATTTTCTCCATTACCATTTTTTAAATTTATGTTAGTTTTATAAAGCATTTCTCTTTTACTTATTTTTAGGTTCCCCTTTGAGACTGGTATTTTGTCCTCATCCTCTACTGTAAAAACAGTAGCGAAGTATTTATTTAACAAGTCAGTCATTTCCTTATTTTCTGTTATAGTCGCACCTACATCTGTCTTTAATGAATCCACATTCCCTTTGACTATTCTTTGTCTCTTAATACATTTCTAAAAGCTTTTACTATTGGTTTTAATATCCCTCGCAAGTTTTTTTCATACTCCCTTTTTGCTCCTCTTATTACTTTCTTTGTATCCCTTTGTTGCCTTTTATAGTTCTCCCAGGCCTCTGCATTCCCACTTTTTCTTGCATTCGAGTAAGCCTTTTCTTTTAACTTGATACTGTCTCTAACTTCTTTTGTGCACCATGGTTGCTTAGCTACACAATTTGAGGTTTTTTTAGTGTATATATTTGTTCTGTATCGAATAAGTTTTTGAATATTTCCCATTGTTCATCTGCAGGTTTACCCACTACCAGTTCAGCCCAGTTTACTGTCGTTAATATATTTCTCATCCCATTGAAGTTTGCCTTACTAAAATTTAAACCTTGGTT